CGCTGCGATTGCTGCTAACCATGACCACGTGGAAGGGAAGTCAGTAGGGAAGCATGACCTGGTCATCAGGTTCCTTAGGGGGGAGAGAAGGTTGATTCCTCCCCGGCCCCCCTCTATACCTTCTTGGGACTTGTCTCTAATGCTCAAAGCACTACAGTAGTCATTCGAGCTAAAGTTTCTTTCAATGAAAACTCTGCTCCTGCTTGCACTGGCCTCCATCAAGAAGGTAGGGGACCTGCACGTAATCCTGAGGCCCCGGCCCGGCTATGTGCCCAAGGTTCCTACTACCCCCTTCAGGGATCAGGTAGTGAACCTGCAAGCGCTGCCCCTGGAGGAGGCAGACCCAGCCCTAGCTTTGTTTTGTCCCGTTCGAGCCTTGAGATGGTACATAGACCGGACACAAAGCTTTAGGACCTCAGACCAGCTCTTTGTCTGTTACGGAGGCCGGCAGAAGGGGAAGGCCGTCTCTAAGCAGAGGATGGCCCACTTGATTGTGGATGCCATCACCCTGGCTTATCAGGCACAGGGTGTGTCCTGCCCGCTCAGGTTGTGAGCTCATTCTACTAGAAGTGTTTTATCCTCCTGTTCCAAGTGGTTCGGGTACGTTTTGTTATCCAATCTCACTGAGTGGGTAGTGCTACTACAACAGTGACTGGTCTTCTTGTGCGAGCCCTGGCCTACACCAAAAAGGGGCACAGGAGGCTCGCACAAGACACTGGAAGGGGCAGCATCCATGGTGCTTTGGTAGGGATCCCAATTCGTTGGTTACCAACGTGACGTCGAGAGTGACCGACTGAAAGGGAATGTCTCTGTTACGCATGTAACCCTTGTTCCCTGAAGGAGGGAATGGAGACATCACATCCTGTCGCCACGGCTGCTGTACCACCGCTGAGCGGCCGGGTCACTGGCTCGGCTCCTCAGCGAAAACCTGGTATGCGTTGCACCGGCTGCCTTTTTATGCTCATGCTGTGCTCAGCGGCAGCTGGATGCAATTATCGCATGCCAATGTGCATTGGCTCATTTAGTTTACACTCGAAGTGGATTGGTCTGTCTAAGTGAGATCCCAATTCATTGGTCACCGAAGTAAAGTCTCCATTCCCTCCTTCAGGGAACGAGGGTTACATACGTAACCGAAACGTTACATTTACTAATTTTGTTTGATATAGTAAAAAAGGATCTTGATTAGTTTGTATATCACAATTCTGAAAAAATCTAAATTTAGTAATTTCTTTATCAATTTTTTCAAGACTAGATCATCTGAGCTGCTGTTTTATTCAGTCTGTATGTACATATGTGATCCTGGACCACAAGACCAGACATAAGTAGCACAGGTATATTTGTAGCAAAAGCCAAAAATACATTGCATGGGTCAAAATTATAAATTTTTCTTTTATGCCAAAAATCATTAGGATATTAAGTAAAGATCATGTTCCAAGAAAATATTTTGTACATTTTCTACCGTAAATATATCAAAACTTAATTTTTGATTAGCAATATGCATTGCTACGAACTTAATTTGGACAACTTTAAAGGCAATTTCCTCAATATTTAGATTTTTTTTTGCACACTCAGATTCCAGATTTTCAAGTGGTTATGTCTCGACCAAATATCCTAATATCCTATCCTATCCTAACACCTATCCTAATATCGTCCTATCCTAACAAACCATACATCAATGGGAAGCTTATTTATTCGGCTTTCAGATGATGTATAAATCTCAATTTCAATGAATTGACCCTTATGACTGGTTTTGTGGTCCAGGGTCAGATATGTGTCTGATTCAATTTCTCATAAAGAATCGTAAATTAAACAACTGTTTAATAGTTTTATTATTTATATAAACATTGTATGCAAGAGGCGTGTGACGCATGTGTTTGTAAGGGTTTGTCACACATGAATAACTGCAGAGAAGGCAGCTCTCTGGGAGTTCAGGCCAGAAAGTTCTGCTCCGTTGCTAGGGGACCAGGAACACATGCTTCTACCAAGCAACTGAAGGGCCCAGTGTTTACGGTTTGTCAGAGCTGTCTCCCGTACCAGTGCACTTCAACACTGACATACTGTGAATAACCAAGCCATGCTTCTCGGCTTACTGCTGTTATTGTAATGATGAGCTCATGAAAATAAAAAAAAATAAAAAAATCAGTGAAAAGTATTCTCATACTTTTGCTCTGTATTGCCCAAAATGATCCTCTAGTGGTAGTCTAGAAAATCTTTATAACCAATGCATAAATGATGCGTTAAAGATGTCTAATATGGTGTATAACACTACGTTTTTGGTACAACATAAACACTCCAAACATACATAAAAAACAACTAGCCCCTGATAAACACAGCTAAACTTCTGAATAGCACATACTTCTACTCAACGGAAAAACGACTTACAACAATTGTCATTCAAGAGTACTTTAATTAGCTTTTTTGACATGGAGGCCTCACCCCAATCCTATCCTGTGAATACACAGTCATTTGTCCAGCTGACTCAGAGACGCATTGAATAGTGATTTACAAATGAATCATTTCAACAATTACAATAAATATTGTAAACATCTCGGTTAAATTAGCGGTTTCAAACCACTAAAATCAGCTCTGGGATGCATAATGATAAACATAAGAGTTTTTATTTAGGAGGGCTAAAAGACACAAAGAAGATCGCAAACAAAGAAACTTTTCAGTATGGGTAAATAGTACATTTTATTGGAAAACAAATATACAACTTGGAATGGACTATCTGAGGCATGACGATGCCAGTAAGCGGTTTAAAAAAAAAAAAAGAAACGAAGAAGTAAAGAAAGAAAAAGAAAACTAGTGTGAATAAAACATTAAAAAGCATTGTAAGATTCAAACAAGTTCTTGGTATAGAACAGCAGATACAAAAAGAGTTTATGTACGAGTATCTTGTAGATACACCCGTGTCTTTTTCTTTTTTTGCAGAAGTGCAATGCTGAGAAATTCCATATATATGATATACTTTGTCCATAGTCCATGCAGAGTTAGAAACGAAGAAGTAAAGAAAGAAAAAGAAAACTAGTGTGAATAAGTGAATAAAACATTAAAAAGCATTGTAAGATTCAAACAAGTTCTTGGTATAGAACAGCAGATACAAAAAGAGTTTATGTACGAGTATCTTGTAGATACACCCGTGTCTTTTTCTTTTTTTGCAGAAGTGCAATGCTGAGAAATTCCATATATATGATATACTTTGTCCATAGTCCATGCAGAGTTACTCCTCTACATTGATGTCATGCCAGCATCGCTGCCAAGAGACAACCAGCTGGCAGGTCTCCACTCTTGCTACGCATGAGGAGGGCAGACAGACATGACGTGAGTTTTTTTTGCACGTCACAACCCCCTCTTCGTGGCAACAAGCACCTGATCGTGTAACCGCACCACCACTCCAAAAACACGATGACAGCAAAAGAAAGGGACATGAGGACTGAAGATCCTATGCAGTTTACATGCAGTTCCTTTGGACAGCCGGGAGGAGGAAGGGGAGGGGACTTAACGTTTTACAGATAAATTAAACAGAAAAAAGGCAAATTATTTATAGAAGAGAGAGGATCTGTACAAGGCCTTCATTTCGCCGTCATCATCTGTACAAATTCTGTGGAGACAGAGAACGTGTTAGTCCGTTTCCGAAAGATGACAAGATTTCATACGTGAAGTAAAGTTGCACCCTGACACTGCGTCCTAACCAGCCACAATGGCAACAAATGACATTTTGCGTGGTAGCCCGCCCACAGTGGAATCTTATTGACCCAAAAATCCCAATTAAACAAACCACGCTCTGATAAGCTGAGATTGTGCATTCTCAATTTTATTGAGGACAAGTTGTTATAAAATCAACTTCACAATGAACTCACTCACCTTCGTAGTTAACCTGTCCGTCTCCGTCAATGTCTGCTTCTCTGATCATCTCATCAACCTCTTCATCAGTCAACTTCTCTCCGAGGTTTGTCATGACGTGACGCAGTTCAGCTGCGCTGATGTAACCATTCCCATCCTAAAGCACAGGATATCCAGGTCAGCGACTGCACGTGACTTTATGTGTGGCGCTATTCTGGAACGGGACGAGCTTTACCTTATCAAAGACACGGAATGCTTCTCTGATCTCCTCCTCGCTGTCTGTGTCCTTCATCTTCCTCGCCATCATAGTCAGGAACTCTGGGAAGTCTATCGTCCCATTTCCTGTGCAGAAAGCAGAAGCATTTATTTAGACAAGCCCCAACTTTTAACATTCAACACTTGGGTCGAGGATGGATGCATGCAGTCGTCCTTACCATCAGCATCCACTTCATTGATCATGTCTTGCAGCTCAGCCTCTGTTGGATTCTGTCCGAGCGAGCGCATGACAGTGCCCAGCTCTTTGGTTGTGATGGTGCCATCGCCGTCCTTGTCAAAGAGTGAGAAAGCCTCTTTGAATTCTGCGAAGCGTGACAGATAAATGAAACAGGACCTTGTATTAACAGAATCTCCCAAACATAAACAAACACTGAACACAAAGACACACAGAGGAACGAGTGGGGCCAGTTCCGAAGAAGGGATGCCCTTCTGTACACATTCACTTCCAAAACAAGCTCTTTCAGATATTAATGGAAAAGAAGCTTGACGCCATAGAGCATTTAAAGTCAACATGAAACATATTGACTTTGTTTACATTAACAAATGTTCCTGGTCTTAATGAATGATTCATGTGCCTGTTGTTCAAAAGAAAACAAATGTTTTAGCTTTTTGGCTGACATCATACATCCATAAGGCTTCATTCTGGAAAATAACAGCCACTTTTACAATCAAACATCCTGATGTGTGTATTTGCTTTCACTGCAATTCATGCTGCACTCAGAAAAACTAATAATTTTGGAAGCAAACAGGCTGCAAACCAAGTTTTATGTTGGCTTTAAAATTTAGGATCAGAGACACAACTATAGAGAACAACAGCAAAGTTGTCCAAACTCATAATGAACATTACAGTGCGAAGAAAGAACAATTTTTATTTTTTTTTAAAAACCAGCATACACGCTTGTAATCATCGGTTTATTACGCAAGGCACACGCAGGAAGAACATGTGTGACACCCAAACTAGAACAGGCTTGAATGACTAAAATGGAATACAAAAGTCCCAGACATCAATTCCTCTAAAGAGAAAAGTGACGTATCCATGTAAAAATGCCACTGGCTGCTACTACAACGGCCTATCCTCGCGCAAACGAAACCTTACCCTGCTTCTATGCAAACCATTGACTCCGAGGCACGGTTTCTATTGAGATCCAGCACTTGTGACTCACTCGGTTCCTATGGAGACCCGCTGAACCATATGGAGATCCAATGCTGTGACCCCATTAAGCTGATATAGGATCTAGACTTCAGAGCAGTATGGAAACACTGTCGTGACCTCACACGATCCCCAGGGAAACACACTTCAGTGACTAGGTCTCTATGGATAAACCACCATGACCTCACTGTCACTATAGTGACCGACCACAATGACCTAAATGGTTTCACAGCCTTTCTGTTTGAGGCTCTCAACCGTAATCGCACAACCACCATTAAAACATTAGTCAAAAAACAAAAGCTGCGTGTCCTGAAAGTAAGAGGTTTTCACATCCATTTTCTTCCAACGCGTTTAGAATAGATTGGATGGCCTTTGCATGCAACACCAGAAACGTGAACCCCAAAATATTTCTATTGTCATAAACGAGCACACTAGCACAATTCTAGCTCACACAAGATATACGGAGAAAAAAAAAAAGCATTCACAAATGCACAAAAAATAAACACTTGGCTACTAAAGTTACCTAAATATGAACCCCAAAATATTTCTATTGTCATAAACGAGCACACTAGCACAATTCTAGCTCACACAAGATATACGGAGAAAAAAAAAAAAGCATTCACAAATGCACAAAAAATAAACACTTGGCTACTAAAGTTACCTAAATAAGCCCAAACACCCTAATGACAGCAACAATATCATACAAGTCCATCATGATACTAGAACCTGCAATATCAGCTCATAAATGACTCGAACTGAACCAGCGGCTGGTGAAACAGTAACTTCACGTCAAAGCCATTGAGATGTTCAGTCCAACAGGGGACACACCCTTGTTCCTCAGTGCCTGCAGATACTAACTCTCTCCAACAGAGAAGAGGGAGTGTTCATCGAAAACTACAACGGGCCCTGGGAATTACTCATTCACTTCGTCTTAAACACTGGTGTTACAGGCTTCCCACCGCAACAACCTGTCCATTCAATCGGGGAATGTGTCCCGACAGAGTCTCAAGGCTCGCCATAAAAGGAAATAAGATAAATCCACGGAGAGAGGGGGGCGGAGAAGAGGGGAAAACCACGGCAATCCACACCACCGGCCACGTGCAAGTGGACAGGAGAGGGGGGGGATGTCTTACCGGCAATCTGCTCTTCTGTCAACTGGTCAGCCTGCAAAGGAGAAAAAGAGAAGATGTACACTGAAAACGAGGATGACACCTCATCTAATCAAATCGGCCATCAGAAAACGTATACTGATCCACTATCAATTGCAATATTGGTGGCTTACAACATAGAATCACAAAAGATCTGACTCTCTTCTGTTAAAGGAATAATTCACCCCCAAATTGGACAGAATGACAGCCTCGGTCACCATTTGCTTTCATTATGCGGGGGAAAAGCAATGAAAGTAAACGTCGACTGAGACTGTTAAGACCCTTACATCTCCTTTTGTGTTCCAAATTAGAAAGTCAATCAGTCTTATGGATTTGCAGCAACATGAGAGTCAATAAATGACAGTTTTCATTTTGGGGGGTGAACTATGCCTTTAATACCAACTGCAGAAGGTGGCGCAGTCCTTCTCCACTGCTCGTAGAAGTCTCTGTACTGCTTTATTCATTTAAAGATCGCTGAATTAAAAGACCACAGACGTCAACTGCTTTACATAGAGGTGTTTGATAACGAGCACATATTCAAGCACGAGCTAGTGCGAGAGAAAAGCGCCATATTTGCAGCTGACGCGCCTGTGGTCGCTATCAATGGAGCTTTTCCGAGCTGCTGCTTCAACTTATTTCACGTTACAGCAAGAACTGAGTATTTAACGCCTTAGTTTACATACGAAATTAAATGTCCACGCCTACGTAAAACCCATGGGAGAAGACAGCCTGCTATTAAACCATAGCACTCCCATACATTAGAAGAAAATTATATACAGCCATTCAATATCAAGGAACTGTATGCTGACTGTAACGCGCATTATTTTAGATATGCTGACTTACTATAATAACTGCATTTTGCACTAAAGAAACAGTGACGTTCAAATAAAACGGTTATTACTCACCATCGCGCTGTTTTAACAGATGTATCTCCACACAGAACAACAGTCCGCAGCTGGCAAACAAACAGGATGCACTCAAACAGCGCTTGACGCGCCTTTAATGGTCGCTTATAAACTCCTCCCCCTGCTTTCTCTCCATCCGCCAACACACTTCCTTCCCTATCAGAAACGGTCGCCAAAAATGTCACTATTGTGATCCAAGAACGCTCAGTGTAGAGTACCGTGGATTTTGTACGATAGCGACGTGTTCAAATCGCGAAGATGTGGCATAAACCGCGAGGTGGACCTGTTTTGAGCGGAACTAACTAACCGGCGGACTCACACATTCTGCTAAAGTGTGATGCGGCAGTAGCAGTAATTTACGTTATGGCCAGGAGAGGCGGCTTCTGATTGGTCCATTCGTAGCCGCAATGCGTCACTCGCTGAGATCTGAGTAGAGCTGCATTCCCAGCTAGACTCACTCACTACACATCAGGGTCAGAAATCAACCAGGGCGCGTGGCAGGAATGCCATGGAAAGTGACAAATGTAATCAAATATTAAAAATATTATGGGGGGAAATATATGATGTAATATTTTATATATGTAGTAATTTTATTGTCTAGGCTTATCACAATTGTTATTGGTTGACTGAACATAAATTATGATGCAATGAAAACTGGCTTGAAAATCGAGACTCTAATGTTGCCCATTAATAATAATAATAAAAAAGTTACTTTTTGACACAACAACAAGCCATGCACATGGAGATAGTGTAGCATTTAAGCATCAAGTGATCTAAGACACATGTAAAGTTTAAATTTTTGTATTTTGATGATATAAAGCAATCAAGTTAAATAAAAGATTGTTCAAACTGAGCAAATGATTCACTACAATCATTACGAGTGGCAAGCAATGCGGAGAAGCAAAAATTGAGCCCCTTAATAAATTATTAATCAAAGCATCAAAAAACATAAAGGTCAACCGCTAATCTGAATATTGTGGGGAACGTGTCGTTATCAATGCAACTTGAAGAAATATTTACTAAATGTATATACACTGTAAAAAAAATTCCGTAAAATTTACGGTAAAAAAACGGCAGCTGTGGTTGCCGGAATTTTACCGTAAAAAAATACGGTAGCAACGTTTTAGGTTTTAACTTAAATTTACAGTTAAATACCGTAATTTCATTAACTGATATAATGTTAATATACCAACCTATTGAAGTACTGACATCTGTTTTGTACCTTTGTAATACACTGATAACCACCAAATGCAGGTTGTGATGAGAAAGTCACATGATGAAGCAAAGCCCATCACAAGCAGCTTTTAAATACTAACATATATAGTGCACAGTGTCCTTCACACAAACGCTAAACACCATCATGAAACTGAAATAATGCAATAAACATTAATTTAACAACATTAGGTGTAACACACAACCCTAATATACAAAACTGATAAGAAAAAACAAAGAAGAAACATAGTTATTTCAACAAAAAAAAACATCAAATTTGAAATGTAACGCAGGGAATTCTGGGAATGTCAATTTACGGTTATTCACTGTAAATTATACGGTATTTTTCACTTCCAAAAACGGTATACTACCGTAAAATTTATGTCCAATACATGCAATGTCCAATACAGTTTTTCACCGTATATAGTAGGGGAATTTACCGTTAACCATTTAACAGGTTTTTACTGTAGCATTTTTGCAGTCTTTTACCGTTAAATTCACAGTCATTTTTTACAGTGTAGGCTGGGCTATAGAGCATTGCATGTGATATTAAGCCTATGCCTTTAATGTAGGCCTAATCAATTAAATAAAACATGGTTGAACCGATCCCGCTCTGTTAAAAAGGATTTGAACATTAGGTATGGAGTACAATCCACTTAATTTCTTTATCAGATTGATTTGGCAAGGTTGGCCCACTGCAAGCTTTGCAGAAAGTCTGCCTACAATGTTTTATATATATGGCATGAAGAATAAAGCATTTAGAAGCATTGTCAATTAAAAGCCCCTCTGACGATTCAGATCCCATTAACACTACATATAAATCAACTGAAGTAGAATAAAATTCAGCTTGATTGCAATTAAACCATATGGTTATATAAAACATCTCACTGTATTAGATCCATAGCTTCTCGTAACAGGTTTGCGCAAGTGACTGTTGGTGACTGATGTGTGTCTGCTTTCGGCGCGCATGCAATCGAGTGTAACATCAGCTGAGACAGGCTCATCTAGCGATATATGTCAGATGTGGCATAAGGAGCAGCAGGTTTGTGGGCGCACGGACAGTAGACGCTAAGCCTGCTTGTGCTCACTGAATGCATGGGAGTATCTGATGGCCTGCTTCTCTATGCTTGGCTGCCTGGCTCTCTCTCTCCCACTGGCCACCTGTCTCTGGACCAAACCCAGGGAAGCTGCAGGTGGGAGAGAGTGGAAACTCCAGGGTCAGTTTGAGAGTAACCATGCAGCCCCCGTAGCAAAACATGAGGTTTTTGTCCATGTGATGAAAGTCAGGGACCAGAGTTGTTCTGGACACCACTGACTTTCACTGCATGGACAAAAATTGTTTTTCAAAATATCCCCTTTTTTGTTCTGCAGAGGAAAGAAAGTTTTCCTCTGCACTAAATGTACTATAGTGCAATGCCGTGTCAGAGAAACTAACTAGCAAGTCATGATTGTTTCCTTAACCCTTGTGTTGTGTTCAGAACCCTATCACACTTACGAGTTTACAGAGCAAAAAGGACCCGGCCTCATAAAATTGCTTATAAATCACTCATTATGCTATATTATCACCAAAGATTGGATTCAATCTTTTTGTCAACTTCTTTTCTTTCATTTAGGACTGGTTTTGTATTTATATTTGCTTTTGATTAATCGTAGGCCTCATTTATCTGAGAGTAGGCACCTCATTTTTTGAGTGAAAAAAGCATTATTTATGAATAATTTTCACAATATTAAATAAAAACTGAAGAAAATTTGCACTGTTTATCACACTTGTGTGCTAAAAATCTCCCCCAGAAAAGTATGAAAATTATCAAAAAATTTTTTAGAAGTAGTTATACCCTTTGTGAACGAAGTCACAAAATTTCAGTCCAATGCGATAACATTAACTAGTATTTTCGGGAAAAAGAACATTTTTTCAGAGCAAAAAGGACACGAACACCACATGAGCTTTGTCATAGATTGTAGTTGAAATCATGTTGGTTAGAACTGTTGTTAATGACATCAAACAGGTTGTGGAGTGATAACTTCAGCTAATTAATCTATTCAAGATCAAATTAATATCAAATTACAATCATGGCATCTGAGGAATATTTCGCTATTGTTCTCTGTTGTTTGTTGTATTTTGCGGGTTTCCTCAAAAACAAGTTTTAATTCTCTTAATATACTGAAAGATGCAGAATGAAATGGATTATTTATGGAATGAAAGATCAAGATTGTACATGTTAGCTTGCTTACTTTGCTCAAGTGCATGATCTATTTAAGTCTTATAATCACAGATTGAGAGCTGTAGTTCCAACCACACACATTTGCGATGCTGTTTGCGAATGTTCATTAGAACTATGGATTTTGGAATCACTGAATCATTGAACTGTGTTGGTAATGATGGAACTTATGACCTAGTTGGCTAACTATGCTTTTGAGAAATGCACCTCTGGTTTGGAACAAACATAAGTGCAATTAAAGCGTGACAGAATTTTCATTTTTAGGGGAACTATCCCTTTAAACTGACCAAACATGCTCACAGATTGCATAATTAACATGAAGTTGTTGATTCATAAATAGATGCAAACATTCACACACAAACAGGAAGCTTACAATCACACACAAGCACACCATTTAGCAATCCTTATAAGTAACTGCTTCAGTGTCCACTTGGCACTTGCCACCGTCTCTGCTGCCTAATCCCCAACACAGTGGCTTCTATTCATTCAAATCTGCTTTTATACACTGGGATTGCAACTCATAGAGAAGATTATGCAACAAAGAAAGGAGAAACATCATAAAGGGCCTTGCTATATTAATCACAAGGAGCAGATAAGCTGGATTCAGAACGAGCATGAATGCACAGTCTTAAAGAAGAAGAA